GAGGTTTGCTCATGGGATTTAATTTATGATATTGATACCGCCCTCACATAATCTAGCTAAAATTGTAATTTATATATAAAGAAAATTGCTTTCCAGAAGGTTATTGTTGATATTTCATTGTTAAGAAATCTAATAAGCTCCTTTTATTCCTTGCTTATGAATCTCTAAGGCGATGGCGGACTGCTATATCTCCGCAACTGGGTATGGTGGATGGGCCTTATTCTTATGGGTCTCGGTGAAGGCGCGAATTTCATCGGCTACGCGTTTGCTCCGGCTACACTGGTGACACCTCTCGGAGGCCTGTCTGTCCTTGTCTCTGCAGTGTTATCCTACCACCTTCTGGATGAGCGACTTAATTTGCCCAGTAAAGTGGGCTGCCTTGTCTGTCTTGCCGGCTCTACAATGCTAGTTCTCCATGCGCCCAAGGAGCAGGAAATAAACTCTCTGAGAGAGTTGCAGGACAAACTTCTCAATCCAGGTTTGTGAGGAATTATGATTTTGGGTGGGATTGAGGCATTTTATTATAAGATTTCTGTTGAAAGCTGATTGTAGGGAACTTTATATGATATCATTTCGAATAGTTATGGTGAGAGATTTGTTGAGTTTTCATGGAAGAATGATAAGATTCAATTTTTAATTTTTGTTCTCTTCCTTTTGTCACACTAACTTAGTTCTTCTGATGAAGCTCCAATAAGTCTATGGTTGTTGCTAAGAGGAAAATTAAATGTTATATCGATGAATATGATAATTTGGCTTACCTAAACTCTTATTACATATCTGTATTTTCAATGTCTTTGCCTAGAAACTTCGGTGTTTTATATTTTCAATTTATAACAGATTTTATGTTGCTTTATCAGATAAATATAACGGGATAAATGGGACTTATTTATTATCTGATCCTCATAGACCAATATATTATGCATTTGTCTGTATTCTTATTATATAAAAGTCAATTTTCCAGCCTCCTTTAGAGCGATGATAGCATCGTTTGAGTCGTGTAAGGGACAATTACTGACTATCTATTAATGGAATAGCTCCTATTATCTGCTCGTGTGACCTATTAAAAACGCTGTGAATTTATTAATTGTGTTTAGTTGGTTATGATTTTTGTTTAATGGATGTATCTAGTTTCTCTTGGGTTGATTTTGCAACGAAATGAAGAAGGCCTGCCCTCAAGTTTCTTTTTTCGTATTACTTGAGCCTTATCTTCTAAAAAACGATGTCTCATCCAAAGTAATCCGTTCTGATATTGCAGATTTCAGAACAAGGGTCTAGCTAGAACTATCAGGGGGACTAATCTTTTTCAATTCTGTGTTCTCCGTGCACTTAAGCAATTCTATTCTTTTGACTCATTTTGGGGGCCACTTTTTCCTCCTCTATCTTATACATGACTAAACGTCGCCACATGTGCACAATAGTTAATGTCAACCAAATCCAGAAAAAAAGGATCAAATCTACTCTAAATGAATGTTTAATCGATAATTTCGCCTATTTTTCTCGTAGGCAGACAGTACAGCACTGTCTTGACTTTTATAGAATTATATGCCCCTGGTTCTCGCCCTTGAAAATTGTTTTCGGCAACTTGCTTTATTTTTACAAAGAATGACTCGTCAGTAAGTTAAAGTTTTGTGAGTATTCTCGGTTACACTCTAAATCCTTCTTCTTGTTGGCCTAAATGATTGTAGCCAATACTTTTGTCATCAACTTCATGCTTCCATAACTGCTGTCTAATTAGGGCAACTCTTTCCTGTCCATCTTAGTGTTCGACTAACTACTCTGTATTGCCTTGTCTTATCCGCATTTGTGCATTTTGTTGTTGAACTGGGAGCCCAGTCCAACCTTGGCTTGAACTTCTCGTCACAGCTTGCCTCAGCCATAACCAGTATCGTATTTCCTCGAGCTTGGTTGAGAGGTAAGTGTCGCTGAAGGATATAGTATTCGGACTTTTCGCCTCTCATTAAGTCTACAGCATTGGCTGCGGCATCGTTTCATGGGGTCGCTCCAGAATGCTGGACTATTAGCCACTATTTACCATCAGAAGGGATTCTTATTCAGATTATTTAAAAGTTAGCCATGGCAAAATTCTTTCATCGACGTTTTGGTTCAGTTCCAGTCCAAACCAATTCTAGACCGAATGTGACATTGCCGCGTCTGCACACTCGCACAGGAATTCGTACGGGTCTACGACTATCATTTCGAGGGCGTGCACATTTATTTATGTCAGGACCCTGGTACATCCATAACTTCATAGAATAAAACCTACTAGCATAGCCATACCTTGTATAGCTTGGCATTTTTATAATAAAGGAAGCTTCTCTTCTGCGACACATCTGCCACAAAACCACATGCACAAGTTTAGCTTAGATTCATCCAAAGCAATGGACGGTCCGCCGAGAACTTCAAACCTCGCGACGGCCAACCGAGGACACCGAAACTACCAACACCTTTTTTGACCGTCCTCTTACCAAATAAATAGAGCACGGATAGCCTGATCATAAGGCCTACTCATTGATTCAGTCTCTTGAACTGCTCATAAAAATTCGTCAGTCCGCTGGAACCCATTCGGCCACCACAGCCAAGCAATTAGAGTCTGCATCCTTTGATCCTTCCCTGAATTGTTTCAGCATTCCATTTGCAGTCGAACTACTACCATCATCTCGACTGCACTCCAGAGAAAATTGTTTAGGACTAGGATTATTCTATTCCCATTGTCGCTGGAGGAGATTTTCTTGAAAACCGTTCAGAAATTATGCATAAGCCGCACGAAACCGACTGGTCAAGGAAGTTGTCTGGCGAACTTTTACTTGTTTGCAAGGGATCATTTCCTACCGAAATCTGACTGTTCAAGGCGTTTTTATGTAAGACAGTTCGGCATAAATCTTCAGTATACATAAGGATTCGGGTGGAATGGGACAACATTATCACGAAATGCAGTGTACAGCTGCTTAAATTGGTCACCAGCTTTGGTTTTCAACATGACGTTGAATGTTCCGAAGCTTATAACTAAACTAAATATTATCACTAGCACAAATGAGTCTGTATACGACTCGGAATACTGATGGAATTATTTGTGTCTCATTTTGCCAGTTACTACTTGGTTTTGTGTAGGATATGAAATATTTTTTGAGAGCACGACCCCGAACCATTGGTCTGCCTGAGGCACTGTTAGAGAAGCCCAGATCAGTAGATTAAATCTTTTCAAAATAGTCCAAACAACGCCATTGGATGAATCAGTCGAGGGCTTTTTTAATATCTTTGGATAGCTCTTTGACGTAGGCAACGCCTTTGTCAAATCTGTTTTCACGAAGTCTTTCCACACATTCGTATCAGATACATATTCAATCACCTGGTAAGGTAGCTGTGTTAGGCTACAGAGAAGGTCTATCTAAAATTAAACCTGAGTATGATCAAGAGGCATCTGACAAGACGGGAGTCTTGGTGTAACCCCTTCTGTAACTTATGGCATTCTTCGACTCTTTGGAAGCATCCGTAGTTGTTCTCAGTCGATGAAGTTTGCAAGGGCTCTTTGGGTTTTACTGAGAAATAATCGCTCTTTGCCACCTCGACTTGGTGCAGAGTTGAGTCAACATGTGTCTTGTCTAGATATGGTTCGGAATCGCGTTTTTTGTAACACAAGTTTCCTTCAAGCGTACGCCGCCTTCAATCAAAGTCTAATGTAATGACTAATTGGAAATTTGCCTTTGGCTCATAGTTGACTTGATGTTATGCTAAGGTCCCAACAATCCTTTGTTCAAGGGCTTCTGGCTGTTTCGCAAGGAATGCTTTAGTGAGACTTGCTTTCTCTTAAAAGATCCTCCTCTATGATGCTGCTGATCGCTGCAAGATATTGTGTTCATGTAGGTGTCTTGCTTTTCTGATATTTACATTTCAGAAAGTCCCCTCGACCAGTCAACTTGTTGCATCATTCAAACAGCCACCAAAACCAACCTTCTTGCATCCACCTCTTGTACTGTAAAATGTATTCCACACTGTTTTTATTTGTTTTCTTGTGTCATCATTTTATTTGCTGTTATTGTCTGAAAACCTGTAGTATATGTATTGCTAGGTTTATTATTCTAAACC